TTTACTATATATCCATATTACCCTGGTGATTTGCATGATAATTATGAGTCAATAATAAATTTAAATATAATGCAATAAATACATAACGATAAAAGAAATAAAAAAAAAATAAACATTCACTTCTATGTATTAATGAATTTTTTTTATAATTTGAGATTTTAAAATAAACTTACAACTATTGTGAGCAAAACGTCTTGTGGCGTTCTAGATCTGAGTACTATTGCTTAATATTTCGAAAATGTCCTACTTTTTAATAAAAATGTCATTATTAGTTAATAAATATAAAGCTTTGAATAGTTAAATATAACACACATACACGTCGAATTGTCTGAATAGAGCTAATCAAAGTTTTAAGGATTTTGAAGGAAAGTGCAGTGGTAATAATAATTTTAACTAAAAAAAAAGCTCAAAAAATACTCAACTGCTTTAGTATTTTAGGTATTCTAAAAATATTCACTTTAGAGTGTCTTTGAATATTTGAAATTGATCTAAGTTTTTACAAAAAATAACCCCACTCAAAATTTGTATTGTGAAAGCTGATCGGCTGTGGGTGTAAAGACAATTATTTGAAATGCGGAAGTTATACGAACACGGGAAACTTAGGATGATCAGCACATGCGGGAAAAATTTCTTGTGGGAGAGCTGTGTAACTTGTGCAAGCACCAGTATACTATATATGCCGTGTAACATGAAGATCATTATCAAAACAAATAAACAAAAAATTAAAGAAAAAATTAAAATTTAACTTATATTAGGGTTAGAGTTATAGCAATAATTAGGAATAAAGGTTTGTTTATACTAACATTTTGCAAGGAATTTTTTTATTAGAACACAAAAGGTGGTTTCATAAGCAAAATTTTGAGTTATTAAAGGTTTTCTAGAAAAACAACAAAGATTGTTTTGATTTTTATGTTACATCTGATCTTGACGTTACACTGCAGTTCATTAATTTTATTGGTCAAAATCGATGTGGTGTTGGCACCAGTGGTGTGATTTAGTAAAACCGTTATTTTTTTAGTTGTACAGGATAATAATTGCGTGTAAATTAAATACATTTTTATTAATTTGCTTTCGTATATTACGTTTACATGAAAAAATTTATATAAACGTAAAATGCGGGAGTGAATTAGTAAAAAGTTATCCAATTTACACACCCTAACAACTTTACTTAAGGATAAATGTTAATTGATTTAAAAAATTTTGATTTTGATATATAGCTACAATTATTTGTAAATTTAATTTTGTTGGGAGGTCAATTCTGATTGGTCAAAAGGTATTAGAATATTAACCATCATACGTTAAATGACCTTCTAAGTTCATTTGGGCCTTGAAATGACAAATGACTAGTCATTTGTCATTTGGTTATTTGGGTCATTTCAGACCCTGAATAATACAGTTATCCGACATGTCTGACGTAAATGTTTATTTTATGTAACTTACTCGGCCACTCCTAATTCAATACATAAACTTTCACTCACCTCTTAAGAATATAAGAGGTGAGTGAAATTTTGTTTATTCCCCAGTTCTTATTTATACTTCTATGCTATTTTTTTCACGCTTATTGCTCAAATCTCAGATTCGAACTAATTCGGATTATACCTTTTGTTTTATTGTTTTAACATGCTAAAGGTGATGTAAAAAAACTGCTGACTAAAAAAAGTGGTCGTTCTTGTTGATAAGCTAAATTTATAAAATACGCCAATGTTAATTAACAACAAAAACAATAGTGTGCGAATCTGGAATAAATCATTTATTGCCCACTTAATGGACAATTACATATATGTTTGTATTAGTGAATGGCCAAACAAATTACGTCAGACATATTGGATTAGTAATTTTACGTAAATAAATTAATATATTAGTTAAAAAGGATTATTTCGTCATCTTTATAGTAACAAGTCAAGTTTACCGAAATAAAATTCCTAAAATTTAATACCCAGTAAGAATCATGCAAATATTGACCTATTGAGTCTTATTGACTTTGATCAATCTAATTTTTAAATTCTGTAGTTAACCGTATTTATATAAATCCACAAACTCTGGTTGGCTTAAGATTTCAAACTCTACTCAATCCAACTATTTAGGTCACTAAATCTGTACTTAACTCTTTTTGATGAACAAGTTTAGCATTTGCATATTAAATAGTTTTCGTGTTTTTTGGGGGCTTTTTTTGTCAGTTAAGCAGTTGAGCACAATGATATCTGAACGTAGTAAGGTGATCTGACTTTAATGGAAGCCTGTCATTATAGCTTTAAAAAAAGTTAGTATTTTATATATATAATTTGAATATATTTATTTATTTTATCCTTACATGAATTTAAAATTTATAGTTGCAAGAATATTGTTTGAAATGGATGTTGCTATTCCTTTTGGATCAATTGGAGTTACATATTCATTAATATCGATAATTTGCTTGAAACTTTCTAAGCTTTGACCTTTTAAAGTTTTCAGAAGAGAAAAAAAATCTTCCATTGCAATACAACTAATATTTGCATTTGCCAATGCATCTGCAGCTGCGCGTTTTTGCGTATTCTGTTGATTCTTTTTCTCTTTACATTTTAAAAAGGTTTTACCATGTTTGTTATTTTTTTTTAAAAAGGCCTCAATTAGATGAAATTGATTACAACCATTGCAAAATTCCATTTCGGTATTAGATTGAGCTTCCATATTTTTTTAAAATTAATATAATGGATTTATAAAATTCAAGGTGAGAATTGAATATGAATATTTGATAAGTTTATTTTGCACTTTGGTTTATTTCTTTATTTATTATAATTTAAAATTCTGGAGTTATTGAAGACAGGAAAACTATCATTTATATACATGTTTTTCACTGATCAATGCGAAGCCTTTACGAAATTAAATTTGCTAAATCTAACTGAGTAAGGTAAGAAATGCAAGCTAAGGCATTTCGTTTGTTTATATTCTATTATTATTTGATGTGTTTACGAAATTTAATTCAATATTTAAATAAAGTAGAATGCAAGCTAAGGCAATTACTATATAACGAGATGACTTTTTATTTTATCTTTTTCTTTTTCTAAATATTTAATCACATTTATGCTTAAACTAAATGAGTAATTATTTATTTTATAGCCTTGTTTGTTAATGAATTTATAAATCCTTAAAATAATATAGCATTTAACTAAATAAAGTAGAAAATTCAAGCTAAGGCCATCTGTTTATTTTACTCAATGAAATTGAATTCGATATCTGAATAAAGTAAAGAATGCAAGCTAAGGTAATTATTATAACTTTTTATTTTATGCTTTCCCTTTTTTAAAAATCATATTTAATCGTATATTGTATATAACTCTATCTAGTAGTTATTTATTTCATAGCCTTATTATCAATAAATTTTTGAAATAAATCCTTAAAATAGTGTGGCCTCTAACTTAATGAAGTAGAAAATGCAAGCTAAGGCATCTATTCATTTACTCAATGAAATTAATTTGATATCTGAATAGATAAAGAATGCAAGCTAAGGTAATTATCATACTCTTTTTTTTATATGCTTTTTCTTTTTATAATAACTCACTATTAGCTACATATATATTATTAATCGCATATTATACTAACACTAAACCTTGAAATATTAAAAATTACCCAGTATAGAAAAACATTCAATGCATTTTGTAGATTTGTACTATACCTTTTTAGTATTAGGTTGTTGCTCACTTTTTTGAAGCCCACCTTCCCGAAATGCTATTTTTCTGACTCTACAATTCCAATAACTCTTTTTTTAACAAGACCCTTCCGACAACTTAGTTTATCAACATTTTATTTTACCAATAGTTTAGTCACTTCACTAAAAAGTAATTCTGGTAATTGTCATTAGAGTCAGGCCTAGAATTAGAGTTAAGGTTAGTGCAATTTTTTAAAAAGAGTTGTTAGTGAAATAAGCTTTCAGTGAAGTAATTGTTGGTGAAAAAAACTTCTCAGTGAATTAATTGTCAGTGAAATGATATAGTTCAAATTATGTCCTGTTAGTGAAATAGATTGTCAGTATTACAACTTCAGTAAAAATGGTATTTCAGTAAAAATTAATTTCAGGAAGTTAACAGGAACCTTAGTATTAAATACATGTATGCATTACTTTTATTTAGTTGATATTAATATATACATAAAAAACAATGCGTGATATTGTTTAGATAAAAAAAATAACAGAAAGTATCACAACTTGTAGGCGAATATTTTGGTAAGAAAATTATGTCAATGAACATTGTAATAGATTAAAAAATAATAATAAATAAATAATATTTTAATAATTATTTAGATTATTGAGGTCATGCAAAAGTAATTACAGCTGTTTTCATTAATTCTGGTAAGTTTGTGATTTCGGTAATGGTCATTGCCGAATCAAAACTTATCAAATTGACAAATATTTGGTTGGTCAATTTTTGCCAGATGTTCCAGTATTTATGAAAACAGCTGTAATTTGTTTTCATAACTGGCCAGGTCAAAGTTTGAAATTTTTTACAGCTATTATCATAATTCCTGGAACACACCTAGTAATAATTAGCTGAATGATTTTTCTGCCGATTCAGTTAAGTTTGTGGTTTTAGCATAATTGAGTTAAAATTGGTATAGACGTGACATTTATGTATATTATTATTGTTACCAGTTAAACTTTCTTCCAAAACCCAAAACATCTCTACTTTTTCTGGGTTGATTCGTTCAAATCTGATGTCTTCAAAACTTTAGTCCCTAAGATAGCTTTTTCTAGAATGCTAAAAATTATACAAAGCTTGTTTTATCATTTTTATCTACTAATTTGCTATCTTCAAATACAAAATTTTAAAACCTTACTAATTGAATTTTAAGTTTTACAAGCTTCGAGTACTTTGTTAAATATCAAATTTTGAATATTGGGCAAAACTTGTTTCTCAAGGTTCAAAATTCTTGAATGAAATACTTCAGATTAGAATATAACAAATAATCTAAATAAAAAAATAAAAATATCTTTATTAATATTATATATTGTAGATAACACAAACAAAATGAATCTCGAGTTATATTCAGTACTTGCCAAGGTAGATGGAATGGGGTTTCCATTGGCTTATATGCTGCTAACTACAGCAACCACTGTTAGTGATAGAATCCGCAAAAAAATAATCACCCAATTCTTTGATAAGTTGCATCATATGGGAGTCAATCTGACTTTTGTAATAACTGACAAAGATTCTGCACAAATCTCATCAGCAAAGATAATTTGGCCAGATGCTCATATTCAGTTTTGTTATTAGCATCTAAAAAGAGCAATAAAAAGGCAACTTGGGTTGAAAAGAATGCCGAAAACAACTCGATATCTTGCAGACTAGGTGAATTCAGAATTTGCATTTATTGATCCTAATTTTTATCCCGAAATTGCAAACGAAATAAATGAGTTAAACCAATCCCAAACTAGAAAAACAATATTTACTTTCTGTCCTTCAGAACATCATAGTCATATTATTAATCTCGTAGCCAAACACTTTAATTAACACCCTTATAATTCCGCTATTAATATGCAGTATTATTCCTCAGATCAAATTCATGAGGCTGTTGTTAAAAAAATATATACGTATTACCAAAATAATGATCTTAAATGGACATGGTCATATTTGTGGATGAAGTGGTATAGTTCATTAAAATGGCCTAATTGGGCACGAAGTGCAAAAAAAGATATATCAGTATTAAAAACATCAATGATCATAGAATCATACTGGAGACTTATCAAGCATAATTATATTTATAAATTTAATAAGCCTCCTATCAATTTGTTAATATGGATTCTGGCTGAACGTCTCCTTCCATGCTATATTATTAAAATACAGCAGTTAGAATTAAATAATAAAACAAGGACTATTGCATCATGGCGCACAGCCTTTAAACATGCCTGGAAGACATGCTTGAAAAAAGAATCTATTGGTGACTCTTATGTTACTGATCCAAAGATATAAACCTGCTCATGTTCTGCTTATCTTGACAGTCACTTTCTTCTTTGTAAACACTTGGTACGATCTATCTGTCTATTAAAACCAAATTTTTTTAATGAAGTTGAGCACCACCTTTTTGGAGATATAAGGACCTTATTCAATTAACTCAAGGTTTAGAACCTATAGAGGAAGATGAAGTTGACGAAGCATATGAGTTAGTGAATAAAAATAAAAACTATATAGATACGTCAACAAAACAGAATGAAGAATTAAATGATGAAGCTGATGAGAAGCTTGTAGAAGCATTCCAAGAATATAAGAAAGGTGAGAATGAAATTATCAATGATATAATTCTTGAGGAATTTAATCAGTCATGGGAAGAGACCAATAATCATATTGCGGAATTATAAGGGTGTTAATTAAAGTGTTTGGCTACGAGATTAAT